TCCAAGTAAATTCATGTGCACCGCTGGAGTGATACACACAGGTGGGCTTTTGCTAGTGCATTCATGTTGTTACAACATGCTAGTACATGCTGTTGGGCTGTATTAGTGTACCCCAGGAGCTTGAGACTTGAGAGGCAGGACGCTTTTGAGGACCTTGGGAAGACAGTTCCTCTTACCCATGTCCACCTTGCCCAGGCTCCCTGGAGATTGCTCACCTATGTAGCCCAGTCTCCATAGCCTTGGTGGGGACGGTGTCTATCTAGTTCTAGGAATTTGGGATGAGCCACTGAGCAGAGCTGCTGCTGGCTGTACAGGGTGTTCCTAAAGCTCCATGCAGGAGGAAGGTGAGCATCCTTCTCAATACATCTTTGTGAGCACCAGGCTCCAAGTCAGAGACCCTACCTAGGTTCCTTAGGTTCCCATTTAGCACTCCCTGAATGGGCTTCTCATGCCGAGATCTGCCTCTGAGGGTGCCTCCTGTACTTTGGCTTCATCTACCTTAATGTCTCTTAATGAGAGGCATGTTCAGCTGCATGGAAGGATGGGTAATAAATATATGAGGATAGGGCATAGAAAATAATGAGATACATGGACATGGTGTGGGATGGCTAGAAAGATCTGGAATGCATAAAAGGTAGATCAATTGATGTTATGTGCAGATGGGTAAGGGCTAAGAGGCAGAGGCACAGACAGGGCAGGAGGTGGGGTAATTAGAGAGTATGCCTAGAAGGTGGGGAATGATGGAGGAAAGGAGAGAGGCAGAAAAGCCAGGCTTAATTCTGCTGTACAGACTTGAAGGATGGTGAGCAGAATGACAAGTCTGTGCAGCAGAAACCTTCCCTACCAATGAATCCCAGAGACTGGAGTGGACACTGTGGACAGGACAGGCGTCAGTAAGTCCTCCTTGTCTGCTGCTTCTCCAGTTGGCAACTAAGGTTGCTGTCCGGACCAATAGGATCCCTATTACCCATGTGGGGATCCACACTGTGGTCCTGAATCACCGCCATCCTTCAGGTGAAGCCTGGGACAATGGAGGGGAGGAGGTGGAGATGGATATGGCACAGCCTGGTTCTGACCCAGCATCCCTCCCACCAGGACCCTATCCTGGTTCTCTATGGATGAATATGGTCCTGGGATTAAAGGTGTATGTCACCACAGCCCAGCTTCTATGGCTGTGGCTAGCTTTGCATTCTGATCTCCAGCGGCTTTATTAGATGTATCACCACAGATGTCCACCTCTAGGACAAGATCAAGCGGTGCACTGACATAAGCATGTTCACATTCCTTTATTGCTTGTGTGTCTGTGTGTAAATCCGGCGCTTTTTGTTGCCCTTTTGTGAAACACTTTCACACAGCCCAGGATGGCCTTGAGCTTCTGATGTTACTGCTCCTGCCTCCCAAGTGCTGGACCACAGGTCTATGTAACCATGCCTTATTTATGGAGCTCAAACCCAAGGCTTTGTGTGTGCTAGGGAAGCACTCTATCAACTGTATTACATCCCCAGTTCTGGATTCAGTTCTGCACCTATTTAAAGTTGTAAAATTTGAGTCTCTGAATATGTAGCCCAGGCTAGTCTCAAACTCAAGTTCCTCTGTCTCAGCATCTAGAAAATGCTGGAATAACAATAACAGGCTTGCGCCACTATACACAACAGTGACTCATCGCTGTTACCTAGCAACATCACTGCCACTGTTGGCTGTGGGTCAGGGCCGGTGGGTCTTGTACATGCTAAGTCTATTGAGCAGTGTTCTTGGGTTCTACTCAGAGATGCCCCTCTGCCACTGTGGCAAGGCAAGTCCCACATGCTGCCATGATCCCTAGGGATCCCATCACTGGTCTAGTCTGCACTAGTACCACTCACTGATACATGGGAAGTTACTATGTTGGGATCAGGAGAGGACTCCTACCTGCTTCTAGGGATACAGGGCCTGCTCTACTCCACCCATGTCCTGAGGCTTATGGTCCACCCTGATACAGGGTTTTAGGGTTCTCCTTCTGCCTGGATGATCTCCTTTTGTGAATATGACCAGAAGCTCATTCAGAGGCTTTCCACATTGCAAAAACTAAGCCTCATCACCATGGCTGCCTTATTGTGGAGAAGAGGAAACTGAAGCTAGAAAGTGGGGACACAAAGTGTCCAGTCATGAAGTGGAAACTTGCCCCTGGGCTTCTAAGCACCCAGCTCCAGTGGTTCTGTTGGCAGTTCTGCTCTGGGGGAAGCAACAGACTGGGCAACACAGCACTGAGCTACCAGGCCTCAGGCAGAAGCTGCTGCATCTCTCTTAAATACAGCATGGAATGCTTAAGAGATATGTTAGTCTAGGAATAGAGCCTGGGCCACAGGGTGGCCAGGATAAGGGAGCATCTGATAAGCCAGCAAGGTGTTCCAGTATTAATCCCTCAAACCAAGGTCTCCTGATAGCAGGGGCCAGCTGGTGGGGGGGAAACAGGAATCAGCTCCAGAAGGCCACAGGCACTCATCCTCAGCCTCTGGCTGTTCCTGTAGATCCTTCTTGTCTTTTATGTGGTGCTGGGGATGAAACCCATCCAGGAAACCAAGCCAGAGGACACAGTACCATCATCAAGCTCTTCCTTCCTCCATTCCTTTATGGATACATTGGCAGTCACTAAATAGAAAACTGAGGCCAGAGAATTTTGATGGCCATCTGCTCAACAGCCCACTTTCCAGCCAGTATGGCCTCAACTCCTCAGCACATGCTCAGAACCAACTTCCATCCTGGACTCCCACCTCAAGGGTAGAGGTTAGGGACAAGCTTCCTTTCCTTCTTGAACTGAGATTTGCTTGAGAAATCGGATGGTTTGTCTACCATGTGTCTGTAGAACCTTGCACAGTGCATAACAGGGACACTCAATACATAATGACTGGGTGAGTTAAGAGACAGGAAGGAGGGACTAGCAAATACCATCTTTCTGTCGGCAAGTAGTCTCAGTCCAGGCACTGTACGAGGTGTTTTTCTGGACTGTTTCATACTCATTAAACCCCAGCAGACAGCGTGCGATGATCTCTGTGGCACCAAGGCAGGAACATAACCTAACTGGGTTATGTTCAAGAGGCCCTTTTGACAACGGGCCTACTCTCTGTGTGGAGCTGTGGGTAGGGGACACTAGACCTAGAGGGAACACAGATGGCAGGCAGAGGCCCGTGAAGCAAAGTCAGCTTGAACAGGACCTAGGACAGGACGCAGGAAGATGGGACCGGAGTTACACCATTGACATGTGCTCATGGAGTTGGTATGGCTGCAGGACAGAAGACAGACTGTGTGGCCGGGAGGCGCAGACAGCTAAGCACAGACACTGGGAGTGCCCGGGCAGCGCCTGTGCTCCTAAGTCCTGATCTGAGAATTTGATTGGTTTCTTTAGCAGATTCATCGCAGAGCAAATTAAACTGGACCCTAGAACCCAGTGCCCTATCCCAGCTCTTCCCTCAGTGAGCTCTGAAGCCTGTTGAGGATCTGGCCTGTGACTGGGGCTTAGAAATACAGCCCACATATAAGGTCCAGATGGTGCCAAATTAATCTTATCATCAGGGCTCCCCACCCCCACTGCTTTGACATAGTCCCCTTCCTGCTCTGTCTTTGAAGTAGACCAATGGTTTCAATGGCAGTATACATGTGCCTGAGGTGTGTTACAGTTTGCTGTCCCCCATCCCCATCCCCATAGGATATTCTTCACTACCCACACTCAGCTAGAACAAACTCAGACAGCCAGCACCGTCTCACTACCCCACTATCCAAACCCTAGAGGCCATGGACAAAACATCCCCCCTCATCAGCACATTGCCCTGCTTCTGTTTTGGTTGTGGCCAAGCACATGGCTGACTTTGTCAATGGACTGTGAGGGGACACAGTGTCCCCTCCAGTTTTAGATACTGAAGAGAGGCTGACTGTCACGCACATTCTCCCACCCAGAAGCCAGCCCTTGAGTGGCAAGAAACAGAGACCAATGTGGGTTTCTACTCTGGAGAGGGGCCCGACTCTCCTTGGAGATTGTCAAGCCTGTGTCCGTTTTGTGGCACCTGTGTGTAGGCCAGAGGCTGATGCTTGATATTTTCCTCTACCTTTAAAAAATGTATTTTATCTGAATGTGTCTGCACAATATTCATGCCTAGTGCTTGCAGAGGCCAGAAGAAATTGGAGTTACAGATGTCTGTGAGCTGTAAGCTGTCATGTGCCAAGGAACTGGGTCCTCTGGAAGAACAGCCAGTGCTCTTAACCACTGAACCATCTCTCCAGCTCATCTTTTTTAGATTCATTTTATGTTTAATTATGTGTATGTACATAAATTTGTGTTCATGTGCACATGAGGGCAGGTGACCTCAGAGGCCAGAAACTTGAATTACAGGCAGTTCTGAGCTGCCCAATGCAGGTGGCTGGGGACTGAACCCCAGTCCTCTGCAAGAGCACCATGCATTCTGAACTATTGAGCCATTGCTCCAGCCCCTACCTTATGCTCTTACTCAACAAGGAGCTCACTGATTTGGCTAGGCTAGCTGGCCAGAGGGCCCCAGGGATACTCCTGTTTTCCTTCCCAGTGCTAGAATTATATGCATATACTGTTTATTTATATATATGAACATATATATATATATACATATATATATATATATGAACAAAACTTACATGCATGTAAGTTTATATGCATGTACCAGCTTTTATGGTGAGGACTGAAACGCAGGGTCTCATGAACAAATAGCAGGCACTTTACCAACTGAGCCACCTCACCAGCCCCCATTTCCCAAGACCTTTAAGCCTTGTTATTGCAGCTCAGCTCCACCCACAACAGAAAAGTGTTTGGGCCACTTGAGACTTTTGTCTCAGAACCTGAACTTGACTACCTTACACAGGCAGAACTGAGGCACACAGCCTAAGTGCCTTGCCCAGTGTCACGTGACCAAAACAAACAAACAAACAAACGACAGAAGGGCTCGCGCCCAGGTATCTGTGTACTTTGCCAGTTTGATTCACTGCCACACCTCAGGTAGCTCTTAACCTTGGCCCCTCCATCATTTCTTTTTTATTTTTAATTTGTGTGCCCAGAAGAGGGCATGGGACCCCTTGAAGCCAGAGATACAGGCAGTTGTAAGCCCCCTACACAGGTGAAAGAGGAGCAGGCACTCGTAACTACTGCGTCATCTCTCTAGTCCTGCCCTGCCACTTCTGACAACAGTGGTCACATAGCTCTCCTAGCCTGGCTCTTCCAGAGAGGAGGCTAGAAACTTTTATCTGTGCGTAAAGGAAAGTAAGATGGTTGTTTAGAAAGAAATACAATATTTTTCTTTTCTTTACTGTAAATTATTTGCAAATACTCACGTTTCCAGTGTCATTACAAAAAAGACCCCACAGGAGAAATATGGGTCCTGCAACGTGAAAGAATGGTACGACTTACAAAAATAATAAATACATATAGTGCTACCTAAAGAAAAAGAAAATCACCTAAAGAAAAAGGAAATCAGTGCTGAAATTCAGAGCTGGCAGCAAGTTCTCACTGCCCATGGGTCTCTCTTTGGTCTGTAACTCAAACACCTAGAGGACCGTTTTGAAGGATTCAGCCTGAAGTGCAGAGTTGGGCACGGCTATTCCCTGAGTCCAGTACCTCCTCCCTAGACATCAAATTCTTGGGACCACCTTTCTCCCTGGAACAATATTAAAAATAGGGTGCGTGTGTGTCTATGTGTGTGTGTGTGTGTGAGAGAGAGAGAGAGAAATCATTGCTATTTGTGAATGGGTCTCTTCTTGTCCTGGAAGGGACCCTGGCTCTGTCTTTGGTACCAGCCTTCTCATCTGTGGGTAACACCCGTTTGCCCTTGACTTTTGCGGCTCATAACTACTCATACACCATCTGGGAGGAGTGAGCCTCCCCGGCAATGGATAGGAAGAGGCAGACAGCAAGAGAGGGATGGTGAGGCAGGATGTAGTCCCTGTGAAGGGAGTATTGCCTGGCCTGGTTCTGAGCCTGTCTGGCCAGGCCCCTTCACAAGGCTGCATCTAAAGGAAGTCCCATGAAAGCGGCACTAGGTGCAGGGAACAGTGTCCGAGTGCCTGAAGACCAGATGGCAAGCAAGCTGACATCACACTCAAGCAACAATTCTGGTTTTTGTTGTTTTGTCTAGGGTTTTGATTTGTGTTTTGCTTTGTTTTTGTTGTTCCCATGCTTTCAACTGCAGGCCTGAAGACAGGAAGCTCTCATCTGGAACCAACAGGACCATCAGAAGTGACAGAAGAACTGGCAGGGTCGGGACAGGCTCCAAGGGTTGGCATCCATGGATGTGGCTTAAGAAACATGAGGCAGTGGCGGTGTTTAGTCACTAGCTGCCCTAGGCCCTGCTGTGGGCTACAGCAGGAGCATGGGGGAACTTCCAGGGAGCCTCACAAGTGGTCCCAGAGGCCAGGCGTGTGTTTAAAGTGGAGTACATCTGTCTCCCAGTTTCTTCAAGGTCAGATTCAGGATGGGGCCAGATGGTGGCTGCTGCTTTGTGCGTTTTGCTTCTCTTTAGCTTGGTTTTCTTTATTTTTTGGTTTCTGTCGGGAGGCTTGGGTTCCCAGGGTTGCCGGCTCACCCCTGGATACTGGGATGCTGGCCCTATAGTTCTTACCAGATATGCCAGTACCCAGCTCACACCAAGCCAGCATCCTTAGCCATGCTATAGAAGATGCCCCTCTGCTGCAAGAGCTCGGAGGGTGAACCGCACTCCCGGACTTCTCCTTTGTCCAAGACGATCACCCTGCATGGGGAGGGATGCAGATGTGAGCATTATGCAAAGACATGTGTCTAATGCCTGTGTCTTCCTGCTCTGCAGAAAGCATTACAAACCCTAGGGCCTGGAGAGATGGGTTCAGCTGGGGTACCCACCCTACCGCCTCTCTGTTATTACTTGTACCATGCACATGTCAATGTCACTCTCTGAAATCAGTGTTTGTTGCTGTGATCATTGTCCCTCTCTTTTTGTCCTTAAGATGTTCCCTAAGCTTTGTATGAGAGGAGACCCGAGAGTCCAGAATAACATGGGACACATAGCAGGTCCCTCATGCATATAAATATGCTGGATTAGCTGGTTCTTCCCATGACAGAAGAGTCCCACCAATTGGAGATGCCCCTGAGCATAAGGATGGTGATGAGTGAGTGAGTGAATGAATGAATGAATGAATGAATGAATGAATGAGCATGACTGTGAACAGGGATAAATCCCGCAAGCCAATAGATCCACTCTGGGGACCTCACCTTGTATAGTCCATGATGGTATTAAGGCGGTGAGCAATAGTGAGCACAGTACAGTCTTCAAACTGTGTCCTGATGGTGGACTGAATGAGGTCATCTGTCTCTAGGTCCACAGCTGCTGTAGCCTCGTCCAACACTAGAATCTTTGTCTTCCTCAGCAGAGCCCGGGCCAGGCACACAAGCTGGCGCTGCCCAACACTAGGAAGGGAGAAAAGCCCAGAGACAGGGGGCTCAAATTATCCTGATCCTGAACCAGGTCTAGAGGGGAGAAGGCTAGCAGACAGTCTGGGCCTGGGCTTTGGGCAAGAGAACAAACCTCCCCGTGCCCACGCCAGTGACAGGCTTTACTAATCAATCATGCTTTCCTGGTGAGCAGGAAAAGGGCTTAGAATCATTCCCAACAAATGGCTCAGAGGTGATATTCAAAGTGTGAGGCCATTTTGCTGTGGGTGACATTAACAAAGGTGGTTCAGTATCCATGATCTCAGCACTGGCTGGATTGAGCTATGTGCCAGGCTTTAGTCAATGAACGGTCAGTAGAGGCCTAACGTGGGAAAAGATGGACATGGAGCATGTTCACCCTTACACATCTGACACTACCATGACAGCATGCCTGGGCAAGTCTGCTGGAGGATGGAAAATACATACATCGGTCCCACTGAGGCCAAGTAGCTCAGCTAACAGTCAGCTGTACCCCCAACCCCGCCCCATGAATGAGCCCAGCCAAGATCAGCAGCATAGCCACTGGCTGTTCACCCTAGCACTGAAGCAGAATGGAGGCTGGCTGCCCTGGTGATGGATAACTTAAGTTGGCACATGGGCAATGGGGCAGAATCTTCACACATCCAGCTCCTGCCTGTCTGCCTACCTTAGGTTCTCTCCACCTTCTGCACACTCATGATTCAGCTTATCTGGCAAAGCTGACACGAAGCCCTTCAGGTGAGCGAGCTCCAGGGCCATCCAGACTTCTTCATCAGAATACCGATTGAAAGGGTCCAGGTTCATGCGGAGAGAACCTGAGAACAAAACAGGATCCTGCGCAAGGACAGGAGACAGCATGCGTGAGGGTCTGAATCTAGAAGGTTCCCCACAGACTGCTGTTTTGAGCACGTGTTCCCAGTTGGGGATGTTGGGGGGCTTTCAAGGAGGTGGAGCCTGTCTGAAAGAAGCAGATTGCTGGGGGCAGACATCTGATGTCAGACTTGGCTCTGATGCTGGCTAGGTCCTTGCTTCCTGGTTGCTTGATGTCATTACCACACATACCTACTTCATGACCATCCTTTCCCCTTATGATGGACAGCAACCCTGTGATACTATGAACCAAAATAAGCCTCTTTTCCCTGCAGATGACTCTATCAGGCATTTTGTCACAACTACCAGAAAAGTAACTAACAGCATATGACAAGTACACCACATTGAACAAGGAAAGTTCACAGGCATGACGTGCGATGTTCACACCAGAACAGGACAAGGTCTCAAGAGTCCCTTTAAAGCATGAACTCTGGGATGTCTGTAACAGAGAATGTCTGAAAAACCCTGGGTAAACTGGAGCAAGACTTTTATTTTTGCAAAACCTTTCCAAACTTTCAATATGCAAATCCTCTATGTTGCTTTCAGTGCTGGCATTTCATCCACCAACAGAAATGTAACTAATACACTCATTCAACCCCACTCCAGAAAAGACTCTCAGAGAAACTTAAGGAAAAATCACAACCACAAGCAATGTGTTAGGAAACAGATGCCCATGGGGATTGGTTTAGAAAATTCTTATGTGTAGCTTAGCTCCGGAAGTATTAGAGATCAACACATTAACTCCTGCCACTGGCAGAGAAGACAGTGTCCTACGAAGCAAAGCCCCTACCACCACCAAAATCCACAGAGGCTCTGGTTCTTCATACGAAACAGTATAGTTTTTTTCATATAACCTACTCACAGTTCCTATACACAGCATGTCTAGATGATGTACTACTTACTACAGGAAAATAGCTGTGCATCACTTGGGGATAAAAGTCTATGTATGGTATTTAAGTGCAGATGCTAAACCTAAAAACAAAACAAAACAAAAATAATAGTCACGGGCTCAGTGACTAGAGGCACATGCTACCAAGCCCGATGGCCTGAATTTGATCCTCAGAGATAGAGAACTGACTACAGCAGATTTTCCTGACCTTATACATATGATCTATTTCCCTTCTCCCAGTAAATACATGAATGCAAAATCCCCATTCTCCATCTACAGCTCACTGTGCCCATGGATACAGAGGGTGTGGCCTCAGTGTGTATGGGACCCACCAGCCTTCCCACCTGGGGGATGATGGTGATTTTGAAGCGCAAGCTGTGCAGGCCAATCTTAGCAATGTTCACCCCATCGATGATGATGTCGCCACCTGCAGACTCATTGATCCGGAACAAACCCAGGGTGAGAGAAGACTTCCCAGCTCCTGTACGGCCCACAATACCAACCTGCAGGACAGGAAGGGGCTTTGGTGAGGTGGGAATGCTGCAGACTCAATGTTCTCCCAGCAGGTGGCTGCGTTAGAGCTGTGGTCATCTGGCTGATCTAGTTACCACTCCCCAGCTTCTCTAAGACCCTTCAGGGGCTACTTTGACAGAAGGCAGGAAAGGACGCCTTTACTTTGCTTTGCTTTGAAAGCCTAAGGACTTTTTATAAGTCAGTAGAGACGCTTAAAGGAATAGGGAATGTTTAGTTGAGTTCTATTACATTCAATTAGAAAGACTCAGAAAATTATGAGGTGTTTCCTGGCTTCCCACATGGTTCCTCTCTCCCCTAATGAGAATTCCTTCTTGGAGCCATAACATCTCAGATTCAAGCAAAGACCCTGAACTTCTCTGATATGGCCTTGGCACCCCAGTTACTGGCCAATGGCTGACATTCCTAATGCCCTATACACGGCATGTCTAGATGATGCACTACTTACTACAAGAAAATACTAGGAAAATAGCTGTGTATCACTTGGGGATAAAAGTCTATGTATGGTATTTTAAGTGCAGATGCTAAACCAGCAGTTCTGGCTCCTCCCCTCTTTTGCTCTGGGCTTGAGATGTGCTCCCCCACAGTTACTGCAGCTCAGCACCTGTGCATGAATCCCCGTAACACATAAAGACTCAGAGACCATCTTATAGAAATAGAACACTCTGACACATGTAGATGGACAATTTAACAGATCAATATTACAGGATGCAAATGCCTAAGGTGATCCCTGACCAAGTTTCTGAGAAAATTCTATGGGTCATAGACATATGGAATGTCTTCCAGGAACAGCTTGGAACCATATGTCCCTATAAGCCTTCCTGGTTAAGGTGGCATCACCTATGACTCTAGGCTTTAAAAACTTCAATGTCCTAAAGGGACCACATAGGCACACAGACCCCACAGGAGGAAATGGGATGAACTGAAAGGCTTCTAAAAAGGGCCTGGAGGGGGTTAGGCCAGAACTGCTACGAAAGATCATGGATTTTTTAGTATTTATAGTTCATGCACGTCCACGTCTGTGGACCTCATCCTTCAGTGGTCCACTGTGCCACCTGTTGAACACAATCAGCATCTTTGATTCCCATGATTCCTCCCTGTGAAAGCACCTCATAGTATGAGCTAGGGGTTCATGCTGGACCCTAAGTCAGTGGGAATGGAGGATGGCACACACTCACCTTTTCTCCACCCTCGATGGTGACGTTTATGTTCTTGAGAACAAAGTCCAAGTCCTCTCGATATCTCAAGCAGTAGTTCCTGAACTCTACACGGCCCAAATGGGGCCAGGTGCTGGGTGGAGCTGTCTCCTGGATTTCCCAGGGAGCCTGGATCACAAGGGGGATAAGAGAAACCAGCAAATGCAGGCTGCTAAACTCAGTCTTTTATGTGGGTTCTGGGGATCTGAACTCTACCCCATTGGCTATTTCCCCAGCTGCTTCTAACACTTCTAATCAATTCATTTCCACTTACATCTTAATTCCCCATAATGAGAGCCCCTATAAACTGGCATAGCAAATAGCTGGTGGCTTTGGAAGGCACAGGTGGCTTTGGAAGGCACAGGCTGCCGTTTGGTGAATGTGAGAGAGAAATTTGCAGTTTATCTGTCAGTTGTGGGGAAATCATCTTAATTAATAAGGTAGCCATGAGCCTCAAGCGACAACCAGGGCTAAGACTTTCTCTGTGATATCAAATGAAGGAAAGAATCACAGGGAAAAATGTTCCTTAGTAAGTGACACAGCACACAGGTATCTTGGGGGAAAATGGGCATATGTGGATAATTTCCTTCCTCTAAAACAAGGTGGTTTCTTAGCAAGAGTTAAAAACAGACAGGACAAACCCCAGAGGGCCTGAAGGCACATAGCTCACCCTCTGAGTAGGCAGAGGACACCCAAAGGGTGTCTGAAAGGCCAAGGCCAAGGGACCAGGCTGGGACCCTACCTTACCTCCTTCTCTGTTTCAGAATACTCTTTTAGTCTCTCCACAGCCACGATGTTGGTCTCCATCTCAGAGGACATTCGAACCAGCCAGTTCAAGTACGATGTTATCTGCCCGTGGAGAGAGCCTTTTAGTGAAAGTGTGGCTTCATTTTCATTAAGTATGTATCACATCATTCAAACAAGTACAGAAATGAGTAACCCACTTAGAGCCATCACCCAGAGAGGACACACTGCACCTCTTAGGGATCACACCTTTCAAGGTGACACCTGATCATACAAGGTGTCAGAAAGCAGTCAAGAGCTGTGAGATGGCTCTGTGGGCAAAGCGCTTGCTGAGCAAGCCTGGCATCCTGAGTTCCACCCTCCAGAGCCAGGTAAAGATGAAAGAAGAGAACTGACTCCATAGAGTTGTCCTCTGACTTCCACATGCGCACTGTGGACAGGAGGAGGGAAGGAAGGGGGGGGGGGGGAAGAAAAGGCAGACAGAAAAAGAAGTCATATAGGAAACTGGAAAATTTTGAAACTGGGTGATTTTCATGTGATGGTTCATATCCATAATTAATCCCAGTGCTCTAGAGATTGAAGCAGGAGAATTATGCTAAGTTCTGGCCAGCCTGCCCAAGAAAGAGTCTTCTACCTGCAGTGAGTAAGACACCGAGAGGCCCACCAAGCCAGCACTGAGGCTGTGCCGGGCTATGACAGCAAACAGGGCAGCGAACAGTACGATGCAATTGCCCACACACTCAAGACGCACAGCAAGCCACCTGCAAGGAGATATGGAGAAATATATCAGACAGACAAATGCCCAGCTTTAAGCTCGTGGGACAGAGTTAAGCACATTTGCTGGCCTAGCTAATTTTCCAGCACTTCTAGAGAAAGTCTTGTGGGTACCACTCATCCACAATATGAGAACTGGGGGCCTGGGGGTGGGGGTATTCCCAAAGGACCATGGGATTTGAGGCCAACAACTCTTCATGAGTCTGGCTTGCTTGGGGACTAAAATAGAATTCTCCAGAAGCAATCCCCATTTTGGAACCTCAAGTTTGCCTTTAGAAAGATTGACTTTTTCTTAGGAAATCTTTAAGATAAAAAAATAAGTCCCTGGAAATTCCTAAGATGTTATAGACTACAGGAGGCACTGCTGTTTGCAAACAGGAGTCTTGGGCAGGGGGCAGGGCTCAGTGGTGGATCACTGGCCTGACATGCACAAGGCCTTGGGTTTGAGAGTCACCACCACATAAGAGTAGCAATAATAATTATAAAATAAATAAATAAAATCAGTCCCTTGGCAAGAGATGGACCTCAATGTGAGGAAGAAATAAGTTGCTATTTTCAAGGTTGGACACTGAGCTTTTGGACCACCCTCATCTGGATTCCACAATGCAGGGTTATATTGGAACACAAATGTGGATTCTCATGCTTGCACAGTAAACAACATTAGCCACCAGGCCATCTCTTCAGCTCCCAGATTGCTTTATTTTTGAGACAAGGTCTCTTTCTATACCCTAGCTATCCTGGAATTCAGTAGGTAATCAAGGCCACCTCAAACTCATGGTAATCTTCCTTCAAGCAAGTGCCACCATGCTCCTGTGTACTTTGAATTTCTCTCCCAGAGGAAACAGAGACTGAGGGACTGGGCACTCAGCTGGCTTTCTCTATCCTACTGACCACGGCACCTACCTGTTGGCCACAATGCTGGGGTAGTAGGCCTTCTGATTTTCATCCACTTTCAGGTCGCTATGGTGAATGAAGCGCCCCTGCTCCTCAAAGGCACGGATGACACTGACCCCCAGCAAGGTCTCGTTGAAGTGTGAGTACACAGGAGAACGGCTGACAGATTCTAGGCGCTTCAGCTGTCGGGAGGAGGCCACATAGAACCTCTGTGGGACAGAGTAAGAGACACAGAATCAGTGCTAGTTCCTCATCCCATCCTCCTGGGTATACTGGGAGAAGTTAGACACGGCTGATACCACCAGAGACCAAAACCTGGAGGTGGCTGCTTACCTGGTGAATTGTGGGACAGTAATGTCAGTGACAATAGTCACAGCTACTTGAATGCATATTCCCCATCCACAACCTATAAACCTAGGCAATGCTCTTTCTTGCTTTTGGATGGAGACAAAGAGGTACAAGTGGCTTCCTCTTTAAATCCATGGCTAAGAAGCAGCAGGACGGACCTGAAATAACCTCCAGACTGCCTGGCCTCTCAGAAGCCCTAAATGTTTAGGGCTTTCCTCTCCAAACAGTTCAGGTTTAGAAGCAAGCTTTGTGACTGTGACTTCATTTGCTACTAACACAGAGACCCAGCCAGGTCACTGGGCTGTCTTAGCCTTGGTTTATTCTGTATAGTAGCAACCCTAAAGCCATTTTGCATAGTGGGCTGTGAGGACAACTCAAGGGGGAAGTCCTTCAGTATGCTGTGAATATATGTTTCTATTATCAGTTGATGAATAAAGCTGTTTCGGCCAATGGACAGGCAGAATGTAGCCAGACAGGAAGTATAGGTGGGGCTACCAGACTAGGAGAATTCTGGGAAGAGGAACACAGAGAGTGAGTTACCAGAGAGATGCCATGTAGCTGCTGAGGAAGCAAGAGACATCACTGGTAAGCCAAGACCTTGTGAAAATACACAGATTAATAGAAATGGGTTAATAATTAGAGAGCTAGCCAATAAGAAGCCTGAGCCATTGGCCAACAGTTTAATAATTAATATAAGCCTTTGTGTGTTTCTCTGGAACTAAATGGCTGTGGGACCAGGTAGGAGAGAAACTTCCATCTACGGATAACAGGTAAGACTACTGTGTGAGTCTCACATGTTCATATGCACACACACTGCACATGACAAGCCACACACATAACATGGAGCCTCATGGCCTCCACTAAACCATCTTTCTTTATGGGATGTCACTGGCCCCAAGTGTGATGGGGCCCAGGCATGGGATAGCAGTACCAAGGTTCCCAGACCCTATGTGATGAGAACCCACTATTTGGTGTTTTTAAGTTTTTTGTTTTGTTTTGTTTTTGAGAAGGTTTTGCTAGGTAGCTTTGAACTCTCCATCCTCCTGGCTCAGGTCTGAGTGTTGGAATTACAAGCAGGTACCACCAGGTGTTAGTTTACATTGCTATTATCCCCCCAACAATCTCAACAGCCAACCTTATGGATGACAATGCTTCAATCAGGGCTCTGAGCACATGCCTCAAAGCCACAAGACCCAGGGTCCAACTCTTGGCTCTGCCACCTGAGAAAGATGCTTCCTTCTTTGAGTCTCTATCCTCTCACCTGTCTCCTGAACATGTAATCTACACAGGATTGACCCAAGACAGTATACATGTACAAAGAAAAGGTGATTTCTACAAAGGCGACAAGGCGTAACACAGAACAGCTGCCCCTCTCCCAGAGGAAACTGGCTGGTGAAAACCACAATGTGCCCAGTTCTCCCTTATAAATGGCGGCCATATGACTGAGTTTGAGGACTAGATGTTTTAAACGGGTAGTTCTGATCCATCGGCCACAGGTTCCCTGTTCTGTTCCCTTGTGTTAATCTCAGTATCTGAATAATAGATGTGACGGACATGATAGCTGAAACTTTGATAAACATTTGGGACTGTGAAACCAACTTAAAGACAGAAGACTTATGTGAAGACAGCAGGGCAGAACTAAACAAAAAGGGGGTGTTAGCAGCAGCAGCAGCAGCAGCAGCAGCAGCAGCAGCAGCAGCAGCAGCAATAACAAGACTGACCCGTAGGGCCACACCAGTCTGGAAATGAGCTGCCTCCTAATGTGCTATGTGTATCAGCATCCACACTGATGAGGCTGCTGCTTTTCATGACTCCACTATTAGAACTCTGTTCTTCACCTTTATAGCTGTGAGCTCTCCCCCTAATATGCAGCTCAGAGGAGTGAAACTGACGAGAAAGCGCATTTGACTATACTGCAAACAAAAGCAAGCAGCCCCTTAAGTATTCACAACAGAATAACAGAGCCCAGTGCTGTGGTCACATTCTCACCAGCCCTCCAGAGATATGGTGCAGGAAGGAGCACCCGTGGTTTACCTGCACAAAGAAGTAGATAAGGCCCAATGGAGGGATGACAACGGCGGCAACAGGTGTGGCCAGCAGGATTATAATGACGGCTCCAATGACGTTGAAGAGTGAGCCCATGAACATCTTGATGACCTGTGGGATCATGGAGTCCACTGTGTCCAGCTCCTTGGAGAAGCGGTTCACTAGGTTCCCGCTGGGTGTACGCTCAAAGAAGCTCATGGGCGAGCGCAGGACATTGCGCAGCAGGTCTAGGTGCAGGTGACGGGAGGCAAAGATGCCCCCGATGGACACAGCCATGGAGTAGCCGAATACTGACACGCCTAGGACAACAGCAGAGATGTGAACATGAGATGTAGGAGCGCGATCTGCAGGCTGGCCCTACGCGTCTCAGCAAGCCAGTGGTGGTGGCCCTCGGTCACCAGCACTCATTGTGTACTACACACTGTGCTAGGGTTTCTGAAGAACTGAGTTTCCCTTTAACCTTAATGAACTAAAATTCAATTCACCTCCCATGACTGTTTAGCTACTGTGCCAGACAGTATAGATCTTCCAGCAGCTGCTGGTGTTGTGTGAGCCCAGGGATATGACACACCTTCTCTGTTCTTTGCTTTCTCTAAAACATGATATGCAGTCCCTGGCTCTGTTACAGGGGGAAGTCAGTTATAGATGGAGAGACTCAAGGCACCCACTCCTGATCTTCTGAAGGCTTGTTCCAAAGCTACCTCAGAGATCAGGGGACATCTGGGGCTCCTCCAAACAAATAGTGCACAGTCCACAGAATTCTTTCAGGGACTTCCATCTGAGGCTCTTTCACCAAGAACAGGGAAAAGGCAGACTCTGAAGTTGGCACTGACAGCTCTGTCAGCTAGGGCCCTCCTGTGTCAATCAATATGAGTCACCTCGCCACACTCAAAAGCCACATCCAGTACTAAGTGCCTTCCCAGCACCCTGTCTGGGTGCAGAAGCTCCCACACCAAGAAGGCTCACCTACCTCCCACATGAGAGCATCAGGGACATGAAAAGGCCACATGTGTACAAAACCCTTTAATGAGCACATGGACCTACAGCTAGATCACACACTGCCTGGTTCGTGCGGCTTCAGAGTAAGCTCCAGAGCTGGGCTGCTTCATTCAATGCCAACTCAGCCAGCAATCAGCCATGTGGCTTGAGCTGACTGGGAGGGACGGTGGGTATGGATTCAGCAAGCACTCAGGGTCCACCATGTGGCAGGTTCTATCCACATGGGTCTGGCTCAGTTTTCGGGTGTAAATTCCCCGAGGACTTGGGGACTCAGGAAATTACACGTGAAGTAACCACAGCCATACCTTGCAAGATGCCCAAGGCCCCATAGACACTCAGTCGGTACGTCCTGTGCTCCTGAGTCCCATTCACAGTGGGGTGGTCATCTGTCCAGAGGCTCAGCCAGTAATTGGAGGCCAGGGCAGACACGTGGTTGCATAGGAAGAGAAAGATACTCAAGAAGGTGATGAAGAGGCCAATGGCCTTCATGTAGTCCCAGTACACTGACAGTTGCACCTAGGATCCAGAGAGTACCAGCATGAGGTCAGCAGCTCGTGGGTGATGCCTTACAGCCCAACCTACCCTCCTGTGCCCTGACCCTCAAAGCCCTGCTGCCCTGTTAATCAATGACGTCAGCCAGCAGTAGCAAAGCCAGGCTTTCTGCCTCCCACAAGAGCTTCCAGTCAAGCACTCAGACAGGCTAATGCTCCATCATCACCCACTCACACATAAACAGAGAAGAGCCATAAGAGCCACACACAGAAAGCCATGCAAGGGCCCAGGTAAGTAGGTAGCAGGGGAGGTTTTCCCTAAGGAAGTGACGTTGAAGAGTTTACCAGCTGTGAATGGAAAACAGGAAGAGAAGGTGACCCACAGGCGCAAAGGCCCTGAGGTGCATGGGAGTGCAACACATTTGAGGAAGTGACAACAAGGATGGAGAAGTGGTTGCAGCTGCCCTATCTGTAGCATGGGAGGTTCCATTCAATACTCCAGGCTGCTCACAGCCAAGCAGTCATGAGCATGGGCAGAGACTGGAATAGCAACATGATGTCAGCAGCTCAGATCCCAACTCCAGCAAAAGTCACTTAGCCTCTCTGACCTTGGTTTTGGCACAGAAACTAATCACAGAGCCCAGCAGGCTTACTGTCAGGTACACATTCCTGTCCGTCAAGCAAAGCATTCTGCATTGTGCCTCACTTACCTGCCCTGTCTGTGCCTTGTCCACTTCCATCAGCTTCCAGGCCTTCTCCTTGGCGCCAGCCTTCTGCAGTTCGGCTGTGCTGCTGTGTTGCTGGCCAGCATCCCCACTGTGGGAAGAAGAGCTGCTGAGATGCCTGTTGCCAAGGAGAGTAGGGTGTCAAAGAAGAGCCTTAGGGAGTGCGCGCGCGCGCGCGCACACACACGCACACACACGCACACACGCGCACACACACGCACACACACGCACACACACACACACACACACACACACACACACACACACACACACACACACACACACACACTCTCACTCACTCACTCACTCGTAACCTGTGGCACTCTCCAGAAGAACATGCTTCCATGGAAAGGGATTGGCAGGAATGGGGTCTACTGTGGGGAGAAGGTGTGTGGGTACAATCTTTTATGTAAAGAAATGATCTGGGAGCTAGAGATGTAGCTTGGTTGGTAAAATGAAGCTCTGGGTCCCATCTACAGCATAAACTAGGCACAGACCTGTAATTCCAGCATCAAAGAGGTAAAAACAGGGGGATCAGGCATTCGAGCTCATCCTTGGCTATTTATCTAGTCCAAGGTCAGCCTGGGATACAAAAGACCCTACCTGTTGTGGAATATTAGTTCAAGATGTGGTACATGTGTTTAATGACACAAAGATGGGTTGCATTCTTTTATGTTGCATTTGCTTAACTCTTCGAAGTTGTGTTACTTTGCCTGTCTAAACCACCTGATTGGTCTAATAAAGAGCTGAACGGCCAATAGCAAGGCAGCAGAAAGGATGGGTGGGGCTGATAGGCAGAGAGAATAAAATAGGAGGAGAAATCTGGGAAGACTGAAGAACCAGAAAAGGAGGAGAGAAGGGTGCCAGAGACCATCCACCCAGCCAGACATGGAATAAGGGAGAAAGAAAAGATATACTGAAATAGAAAAAGGTAAAAGCTCACAGGCAAAAGTTAGACCAGATAATTTAAGAAAAGCTAGCTAGAAACAAGCGAAGATAAGGCTGGGCATTCATAAGAAAGAACAAGCCTTTGTGTGTTTATCTGGGAGCTGGGTAGTGGGCCCCCAAAGAGTAAAGAATAAAAAACAAAACAAAACAACACCCCGCCTTAAGAAAATCTCTAACTAACCCTAAGCATTGTCCTTGAAGAACATAACACAGAGCTCAGGGCCACTGGCTCAGAGCCTCTGGACATTGGTTCGAATCTGAGCTGGGCATCTTTAGAGCTGCCCAACTGGTAAGCCTCCATCTCTTTGCTGTGAGATGGGGCAGGCCAGCTGTGCCCAGCTCCCAGACCAGCAGCACCATTAATGTGACTGTCTGTGATCAGCACAAAGTCCAATGTGTTAGGCCCCATCTCAAGTACCTGAGGAAAAACACAGATCATGCAAGGGGCAAGTTTCAGAAGAAGAAACAAGCAAATGAAGGGCAGGCCTGTGTGAAATATAGTCAGCGCTGGTTCCTTCCTGAAGGATGGAGAGGCAGGCAAGATGTACACGTATTGCACATCCCTGAGAACTGTGATGGGAGAGTGGACTTGTTCCTTCTCAGTTCCACAGGCCAAGACACAGATCCAGGAGCAACACAGGGCCGGCCACCCTCCCAGTGCTTACCTCTGAGGGTATTTCCCCACTGTCACCAGCATCCCATTCTCCACTGGCTTTGACTCCTTCCCAGAAGCACTGACACCTGGCAGAAGACAGAAGAGGGGAGAATGTGGTGTCAAGAGCTCAAGACCTGGGCAAGGCCAAACAACAGAACAAGAACTTAGTCACTTTCAGAGTAGAAAACAGTGACTTTGGCTGCCAGGGAGCTTGAAAAAGACAAAACCACATTGCTCTGAGCTACATCCACAGCTCAGGCCCTGACTACTTACTTGGCTGGAGGTAGATGGCACCAGGAACCACAGGTAAAATGTGTAAAAAGCACTCATCAGGGAGATTCTGGAGCCGTGGCAGAAGGGGAGACAGGGCAAAGTGTACTGGACTCTAAGCATCCAGTAGGGGGCGCTGCTTAACAGGAACCTCACACCCATATGGTGATGAAAGCTGTCATCTGAGACTGAAGAATTGCAGGTCAAAAACTAACCTGGGCTACATGTTTGACCTTGTCAAAAACAAGTATCAACCACTGTGACAATGGCACCCACCAAAGACAAAGGCCCAGCGGTCCCTCAGTGCCAGAGCTCACCCTGTGTGGTCAGATTACACGGGAGATGTCCAGAGCCTGGAGAAGCAGGCCTGTAAGAACACTCATGTCTCTAGTATGAAGTTTTGATGTCTGAACAACTGGTGAGGCCACATGGGGCATAACTGCCAGATGCCTGCCCTAACCCCAGAAGGATCCCTAGCCCCAGAAGGATGTCAACAAGGTCAGAACTCAATGGCACCTGGTGATGACCAGGGGCACCAAACACCACTGACCCTCCCACTCAACAGCACCCATCAATCCACGGCTCCTTCCCTACACTGGCTTCTCCATTCTTTGGTATTGTGAGAGGAGGACAGACAGACAATCCAGGACTCAGGGGTGTGTGTGTGTGTGTCTGTGTGTGTGTGTCTGTGTGTGTGTGTCTGTGTGTCTGTGTGCGTGTGTGTGCAGGGTAGAGGTTGCTCACAGATACAAGCACAGGGCCAGCAGCACTGCAAGGATGTCCTGGGGACTCATAAGGGTGACACAAAAGACAACACAAAATGCAGAGCCAGTCCTGGGGGCCACAAACAGGCTAGAGAGGATGGGGCTAGGGGAGGCTCCAAGTTAACAAAGCCTCCCATGAGGTGGGGTGGCTCTGTAAACAACTAGACACCTGGATCCTGTCTGAATTCCTACAGCAACTCAGCTCCAACCGTCTGTGGTACTGAGTTTCCACTTAGCTATGTGCCCTAAGAAATGCAAAACCTCTCCCAGCTTCAAGCTGTACACCTGTAAAATGGGGATGGACCTGATCCTCATATGCAGGAGTCAGAGGCACATCACAGGGCTCAGTGAGGTGCTGCTTAGATGGACATCTGTGAATGTGCTCCAGGTAATTCTGGACCTGGCTAGAACTGAGACTAACTCCTTTAAATGTCCCCTTGAACATCAGTGTCCATACTGACTTCATTATGCCATTCTGTGGGCACACACGTCTGTGTGTATATGCACAGACAGAGGCTACAATACCTTGGCTGCTGTTTCTCAGGTGACAGGATCTCCCCGATCCTGGGGCTCAGTGACTAGGGTAGGCTCCACTTCCCCACACCTGACTTTTTACATGGGAATCAGACAAAGGTTTTCGTGTTTCTAAGGCAAGCACTTACTCACCTCTATCTCCATAGCCCAGCCATGGCTTCTTGATTGTTTTTTGAAAAACACAACCCTCCAAACAGCCATGTCACAAGGGTGAATGGTAACAAGCAGTACTTCCCAAGCATAAGTAAGCACACACAATCATGCATGGCACACACCCTATCCCTCCTGCCCCTGCTTCAGTGGCTCCAGAGGAGCTTCTGTGGTGGTTTCTTTTCCATCTACCAGGTGCCCATGAGCTAATGGTCCACCTGGGTCATCTTGGGGCTCCCTTGCCTAGGAGGTACTTGTCAGAATCCCTCTCCTGAGACCCACCAGTGGCTGTAATGTCTAAGGACCACCCCCATTACTCTGCCCTGACAGGCTGTCTACAGCCCTCAGTTCCCAAATTCCACTCCATCTCTAGGCCTCTGACTGATAGGTTAACTGTGTTTAAAATAGGTTGTGTAGGTTCAGGTGCCTGCCTAAGAGCCTTTGGTCTGAACCTCAGCACCACACTACTGCAGAGGGTAGGACCCCAGGGATGCAAAAGCAGCTTTTTGAACCCTGTCCTTTCCCGATGCACCTGCTTTTTGCCCAGCACTCCCCAACATGGCCTCTGAGAAGTGTGCAGGATGGGATTACTAGGCCTGGGAGATAAGCAAGCTTGGATCTGGAAACATACACAGAACCACCCACAAAGCCTCAGGATGAAATAAGTGCATCCCAGCTCCCCACCAAGCATGCAATGGCAGCAGCTGTCCCAAGATGCCTACGGCCTCCTACATCATAGACCCAATGCTACTGATGACCTTCCTCGGTTTTCACTCCACTGCCTGGAGTCATGAGATCTGGGAAATGTTAGGAGTCATAGTCAGCGCCCCTTCTCCGTACTTCTTTTTCTTCTTCTTTTTCTTCTTCTTTTTCTTCTTCTTCCTTCTTTCTTCTTTTTGATTTTTCGAGACAGGGTTTCTCTGTATAGCTTTGGAGCCTATGCTGGCACTCGCTCTGGAGACCAGGCTGGCCTCGAATTCACAGAGATCTGACTGTCTCTGTCTCCCAATGCTAGGGTTAAAGGCATGCACCACCAACGCCCGGCCCTACTTCTTAACCCACCCAGAGGACTGGAGAATAAACTGGGCTAAGGGCCTGTCTTATGGGTGCTTCAGTTTCCTCATCCTACCTGGGCTGGTAGAGCCCTGGCAAGCCTTCTCCAGAAGCTCCAACTGTATTTAACCAACAAGGGAGAGCAGGGGAGCCAAGCATAGTGCACACACCTGCAGTCCCAGCTACTCTTAAGGAGGATGGTCAATTCAAGACCAGCCTGGGCAACATCTCAAATGAAAAGTAAGAGGAGGACCGGGGATGCGGGCTTAGTCAGTGTTTGCCCAGCGTGTCTGTGTCTGCTCTCCAGTATGGGCAATAAAGAAGAATAAGGAGGGAAAGTGTAGCTCAGAGACAGAGCACTGGCTTGGCATGAGCGAAGCCCTGAGTTCCATCCCCACATTGTTGGGGGAAAGAGCCTGGAAAGTGCTGCAGTTGGGGGAAGGAAGGCAAACTACAGGCTCAGAGAAAGCATGACAGGAGGAGGCCAGGAGAATCCACTGCCCCCTCAGGAAGGCCAGGGCCCCACAGACCCTTCCATTGGGCCAGTGCTAGGTAAACCAGACAGATGTCAATATCTGACAACAACAACAACAAAACTCAGCTTCTGGATGTGATCTCATGTGTAATCCTGGTTACCAATTGTGCTATGATATTTCCCCAAAAGAGGTATTTTTTATCCAGGATGGACTGACAGCAGTGTGTGCTACATGAAGATCAACATGGGGGTGACATGAGGCCGCTCTGCTCAGATGTGTCCTCCACCCCACCTCAGGGTGGTGTGGGGTCTTTTCTCTGGGCGCTCCCAGAGACTCAGCCTCCCTGACTGATGCAGTTACCACCATGACATTCTTTGTAATTTAGTCTGTCTCTCCTGCCAGGCTCCAGGACACAGACTAGGTCTTACCTGTCATTGTGTTCCCAGCTCCTGGTGCACCATAAGTAGTGACACAACACTGGAAAGAAGGTGTGCCATTCAATGCAGTGGGCACTTTGTACACCTCTTATGGCAGATGGGATGACTGACAAGTGACAACCAGTGAGGAAGTGGAGCCAATCCTCCAATACCACTATGGGGCACCGCAACAGCCACACTCTGCCCTCAGAGTCTATATATAAGGCTGGCTGCAAAACCTGAGGGAAATGGGCAAAATGAGCTCTGCCCTCTTCTGTTCCAATGTTTTCATAGCTCTGTTCACGTGGGGCTGTCTGACAGACACACAGGTGGTACAGGGGAGTCTAACTCAGATCCCCCTCAGAGCAAGGTCTCTTACCCACTTATACTACTGCCCCAGTCTCTCCTAGCACTGAGTATGGGTCACTGAGCCTACAATCCAGGCACTGTATCCACCGCACACCACAGATGCACTGCCTAGCTGTGCCTACCCACCACCCTCAAGCAGGGACCAAAAGAATCACCAATGGCACCACTACTCAAAAGGCTCTGGGACTTCCCAGGTTCAATAGACTGGCCTCCCTTGAGGAGACAGCTCAACTGCTTTGTAGTGGATTCCCCATTTTTCTCCCCAAAGAGACCTGTGTGATTTCAGCATTCAATGTCAGGCCTCCCAACATCTTAGGGCCATGGGAGAGACAGGCAGCTGCTGAGGGCTGTGAGAGGAAACTGCCACCCTGCAGGAGGAACTCTCCATCTGCTGTTCAGGACGATGACCAGGAAATGAGGCGCTTGTGGGTTTCTCAGGGCAAGAAACAGGAGCCTAGGCTGTCTTCAAACCTGTGATCCTCCTGCCTGGGCTGTGTGAAACAAGCTCCCATCTCACCTGGCAGGAGGCTACGGTGGCTGAACTGGGGAAATGAACCCACCACTGGGGTGGAGCATGTGGTACATTTACTGTCAAACAAAGTGTGCCATGTACAGAAAATAAACGAGGGTCAGAGAGTTCAGTAGGTAAAAGTGCTTGCTGCCAAGCCTGAGCACCACACATGCATGCTCACACATACACCAAGTATATGTAGAGCCCTTTTTTAAAATATAAGCAAAAAGTAAGAAACACAGTCCTTCATGTTGTGTACAAAGGGCTCTCATGGCTGGAGCAGGAAGAGTGAGACAGACAGACTTCCTTCACCAACAGGGATTCAGGAAAACCCTTAAACATCGAGTGGAGCAAGTAAAATGCAGTGACAAAGAAAATTGCCATAATCCATCACTTGAGCTAAGAGGCAAGGATCAATCCTGCCTGAGAACAAACAGACCAGACTTAGGGCAGACCTTTGCAACCACAAGGGTGTGAACACGTAGAAAGAACTCATTCCAGTCAGTCATGAAGGCTGACAGGAACACAGGCTGTCACACAAGCAAAGAGCAAGTCACAGCTCCCCCACCCCCCCCCTTAAAGATAGTATGTCTCCAGCACACACTAACCCTAAACTCAGAGTCCTCCATCAGCCTCCCAGCTGCTGGGGTACTGTACCTTTTCCTTCAGATCACTAAAGAGCAGAACAATAATTAACAACAGCCAACAAGCAGAAGCAGACCCTGTCCCCAACCCCATGAATAAGCTAGAAGTCTATAATGCATTGTAGTACAATGTAGAACTATGCAGCCATGTAAGGATGTATGGGTGCAATGCAGACTAGACTTGAGAATATAAGGCTTGAAGAAGCCAGAAAACATCACATATTGCAAACATGGAACTTTAGGAGTACAACAGTCCACAGAGATGGAATACAGGAATGGGGACTCTAGCAAAAGAAAAAAAAAAAAAAGGGCAGTGTGCACTTGTGCTTGCTAATAGTTCTGAGATTTCCCTTGGGGTGACAAGAATGTTCTAAAGTTAATCATGGTGGATACAAGACAGTATGTTAACAAACACCAGCTGGCACAAATTCAATGAACATCTGATTGGTAGTTGAATGATAGCTCAATAAAACTTTTTGGTTTTCTGTTTCAAACTCCCAATAGCCCACCTGCCTGAGCCTCCCAAGTGCTGCAATCACAGGTGCGTATTACCACACTTGGCAAGTTAATATCATATTTATTAAGAACTACTATGATATGGTGGGAGGTGTCTTTAATCCCAGCATCAAGATGAAATCTTTTGTGAATTCAAGGTCTACTCATTCTATATAGAAAGTTCCAAGCCACCCAAGACTACATAGTGAGACCCTGTGTCAACCTCCAGCTGTCCCTTCCCCTATTGGAAAATAAAATCAGAAAACACAGCCACTGGTGACACCCTAATGTTGACCTGAAAATGGGCCCCACTCCCCTTACAGGAGAGACTAGACATGAAATGTCCTGCCCTGCTGTCGCCACTTTGTGTCCTTAGACCAGATGTTTCTTCTTTGACATTCAAGCTTTTTGGTTTTCTGTTTCAAACTCCTAATGGCCCACCTGCCTGAGCCTCCCAAGTGTTGCAATCACAGGTGCTTAGCCAGGAGAGGTGGTGGCTCAGTGGTTAAGCGCACTGAGTGATCTTGCAGAGGATCAGGGTTTGATTCTCAGCCCCCACATGGTGGCTCACAACTGTCTATACCTCCAGTTCCACAGGCTCTGACTCCCTCTTCTGGTCTCCTTCTGCACACAGTGCACATATTTACACCCAAGTTCACAATGCATATCCACTTAAAACAGAGAATGAATAATAGAGTTCCCCACTAAATTTAGACTAAAATTCAAAACTACTTCTTTGAGGCCCTCCTGGGTGAGCACCACACTGTGGTGATATATTATTTATGGTTTATTAAAGCTTGCCTGAGGATTCAGAAAGCAAAGTCAGCCTCAAGCTATAGAGATCAGGCAGTGGTGGTGCACACCTTTGATCCCAGGACTCAGGATTAAGAGGCAGACCAATCTCTGTTAGTTCAAGGCCACACTGAGCTACACAAGACTGATACAGTCCTAAAAAGAAAAAAGAAACAGCTCCCACAAAGATGATCTCAGCACTTGGGATCACACACCTTTAATCCCAGGACTCATGAGATATATTTAAGACAGAAACAGAGTCTCAGAGTGGGCATTCATTCTCCAGCCACACTGAGGATAGGAAATCTCAGGATTCTCCAGCCACTTTGAGGAAAGCATAGCAGTCTCAGATTTCATTCTGAGTTTTGTGGATCAGTCCTTTCAGTCTGCACTAGAGGTAAGAGTTAGTGGCCGGCTGTTTTGCTTTTCTGATCTTCAGCTTGAAGCTTGAACCCCGTATCTGTCTCTGGGTCTTTTATTTTTCACGCTACACCTGGCCACCTCACTTCCTATCTCCTACTCTGATTTCCACTGCCTAAGCTGATCTGTCCACAGTAGTCTGGTCCTGAAGCCTTTGCATATGCCCAGACAGTCTCTAGTGTGGCTCCTCCCATGTCTGTCATCTCCTCAGTGAGGATCCCAGAGCCCATGCTGCATCCTGGCTTCATGAATCTGTCTTCTACCTCTACATTTTAAGGTCCACTAGGAGAGAGATTTTCCTGTTATCTTATCCCCAAACCTGAACTGTGTATGTCCTCCTGTAAGTACCAAGTGAAGGCCTCACCCCCGGCATCAAACTGCTAAAGTGAGACATAATCTCCAAGAAAGACAAGGGCGAGTCACTGCAGTCAGGTGGCCTAACCCCCACTTTTCTACTTTCTTTGCCAAGAGCTGACTGGGAGCCAGGAACGCAGTGCATGACTGGGAACCCCAGCACTGGGCAAGAGGACCAGGTGGGTGAGGGATGTAAAGATGAAGAGAGAGAGGCCTGAACACAGCACAGCCCACACTCTACGGCCAACTTCCAGCCACAAAGCTCTGACACAGGAATTGCTTTCAGGGCAGGCTATGCAATGGGTCTGTACTGGGTCGTTTTGTATGAGTCATCAGAGAGATGAGATCCAGCTGTAAGGGTTTTCTCATTTAGTCATCAGTGGGGGAGGGCCCAGAACATGGTGGGTGGTGCCATCCCTGGGATCTATTAGGTGGGCTAAGCAAGCCTGGGAAAGCAAGCCAGTAAGCAGCTCCCCTCCATGGCCTCTGTATCAGCTCCTGCCTCTGGGATCCTGCCCTGTGTGAGTTCCTGTCCTGACTTCCTTCAGTGATGAGCAGCAATGCTGAAGGGTAAGACTAATAAACCCTTTCCTGTTTGCGTTCCTGTCCTGACTTCCTTCAGTGATGAGCAGCACTGCTGAACTGTCAGCCTAATAAACCCTTTCCTCCCAACCTGCTTTTTGGTCATAGTGTTTTGTTACAGCGACAGAAACCCTAACTAAGACAGGGCCTGAGAATGCTTAAATACTTCATATACAGTAGTTGCTCGTAAATACTCAAATGGAGTATTTGAGTATTTATTGATTTGAGAATCAAGTGGAGAGCAAACAGCATTTTTCTTAGTGACAACAAGGTCTCAGGCCAACCCTTGGGACTGCAGGGTCCCCCATTCATTGACTCTGATGGGAGTTTTACCCCTGGGAAACTGTACAATGGGAGGGACCCTGCAGCTCCATCTGAGGGTCATCTACCTAAGATCTACTTGGGGATGTACAGGATAACCTGCATGTCCCAGAGAGGCTTTGGCTAGGTGGGGGATTGTCAAGCAAGTTTTAGACATTTTACAACAGCTTTAACCAAAGCAAGGTGTCCAGATCAAAGCCCTGTGGGCTACAGAGCATCAGCTGGCATCATCTTTGCCAGCTGGGGCCACTGTTCCCAAGATGCAGCTAACCAGAGGGTCCTCTGAGAGGCTGCCTGAGAAGGCTACAAAATAGTCCCCAATTTGCTGGCCAGTGATGGAGGGACCCAGGCTGCTGGAGCCTGGCACGTGCTTTCTAAGTCCGCTGCAACAAAGTCTGCAGGGGCAGATTCAACTGGCACAAAAAACTTGGGCCAACAGCAGAAGTCCAGGAGAACAGGTGGCTGCCAACAGTCAGGTCTGTGGCATCATGTATCAGGGGAACAGTACAGCTACAGTATTCAAGCACCCAGGATGTCACCCAAGACTACACCAATCACCTGCACATGCCAGAATGGCCCTGCATTTTGCTCTTGGGGGGCTGCAGGGACAGAGACACAGCTCAAGGGGTCTTAAAGAGAAGCCTTGGGCCACAAAGCTGTGAGGAACATGGCCACTATGAGTGTTCACACTCCGCCTTAGGCCACATCCTATGAGACTCATACTGTTCTGAGCTACATCATGGTTGTCAATGGTACTCAGCACCTCTGGGAATACAGAAATCTGTAATTATTATTGTCCCCATTTTAGCCACTGAGGAGCTTAAAGCCCACATGGAGGACAGAGACTAATCTTGAGGTAACAAAGCCAAGACCCAACCCTGTGCACATGGGTGTCAAGTGCTAGGAACCCTTTCTACCTGACCTGCAAGGTTAAGCAGGTCTACCCATTGGTTGGTCCCCCAAAACCCAAAGGGCTTGTCACTCATACTCTCATGAACTGTACCCCCAGGGCACAGGTAAACCCTCCCATAAGCAGCTATGATTATCAGAACCAGCTCCTGAAAGTCCCCCTGTCATCCTTACTGTTATCCTCTGAGGCCAGGTCCTGCTCAGCACTGGCATAGGTGCGCAGGAACTCGGCGAAGGCCCCATCCTGGTCTAGCAGCTCCTGGTAGGAGCCCATCTCTGATATCTTGCCGCCACTCATGACAATGATGAGATCCATTTGGGGCAGGTAGCTGACGCCATGGGTGACCAGGATCCGTGTCTATGAGCAAAGCAGAGACCTGACCCCATCAGCACCATGAAGGAAACTGTCACAGCCCTGTAGAGACTAGAGGCATCTAGGCTAGGATCTCGGGACCTGGTGGCACTGCTCAGGTCCAAAAGCTTTGGGCTCTCTCTCTCTCTCTCTCTCTCTCTCTCTCTCTCTCTCTCTCTCTCTCTCTCTCTCTCTCTCTCTCTCACACACACACACAAACACACACACCTTCACCCCTCCCCCCCCAGGCCCACACTGTGTCAGAGCATCAAGGGACAAAGCCAACAGACCCCTGCCTGGACTCCAGGGATGGAGACAATATGAACCACAAGCTAGAACCAGTGCTGGAGGGGGCAATGTATAAATGTATAGAGAAGGCTAATTCTGAGAGTTGGGAAAAACCACTTGAGAAGGAAACTCTAAGACAGAGACAGTACCACCCAAGAGTGTGGATGACGGAATAGTGAGACCACAACACAAATGTGCATTTGGCAGCCCCGTTTATTTGCAGAGTTAAGAACTAAATTCAAAGCCTGTGCACGCTAGGCAGGCACTCTATCACTGGGGTACATCTCTGGTCCTTATCTTTTAAGACAAGTTCTTGCTCTGTAGGCCAAAGTGCCCTAATTTTCTGACCTCAGCCTCCCCAGTTCTGGGCTAACGGGTGCACTCCGCCATGCCCAACTCTGATGTTTGTGTTTTAGACAGTAACTTTCCCTATCTTTCAGCTCAAACCCACCACAAAAATGGTCTATGCTGCACGTTTGCTTGTTTTGTCATGCTGAGCACATTGATGTGTTTTAGACTATCAATAGGTGATGGTCTCTTCTTGAACAGCCAGGTGGCAATTGCCATGCTTTAAAAGGTACACACAGCACACCACCTCTAAGGGAAAGGGTGGGAATACTTGCTTTGGTTTTGCTGTTTTTTTCTTAAGCCTCAACATTCCTTCCTGTACACATTGCTACTTTATAATTAGGAAGAACCAGTATGTTCCTCTAACTGTCCCCCCTCGCTCCCCCCCCAAAAAAAACAGGAAAAACAAAACCAGGATCACAGCCTCTGTTTCCTCTCTGGCTAAGGCTGGCTGAGCCATCTTCCTGCTCCAAGCCCCACCCTCAGCTTCAGTCTTGCTTGCCTGCCTGCCATGGGGAAGGAATGACAGCCTTACTGAAGGTCTGGATGGTTTCACGAGGAAAAAGGTCCTTTGGCCAGTGAGGCAATGAATTCAAGTGGGGCCAAGAATTTACCCTATAAAAGACCTGGTAAATTACCTGTCTTAGGAAGCTCTCAAATGGCTTAGTTCATAAAGTGCTTGCCACACAAGGACCTGAGTTTGATCCCCAGAATCCATGTGAAAAAGTCAGACATGGTGGCAGACCCTGTAGTACCATTCACCAGGGAATCAGGGACAGGAGGGTCTTTGGAGGCTCTAGGTTCAGGAAGAGACCCTGGTGCCTGACTAAGGACACCCACGGTTGACTTCTCACCTCCAGCTGCATACATACATGCATGCACACCAGTACATTCTGTGCTGGCTGGTTTTGTGTGTCAACTTGACACAAGTTAGGGTCATCAGAAAGGAAGGAGTCTCAGCTGAGGAAATGCCTCGATAAGATCCAGCTGTAAGGATTTTCTCAATTAGTGATCAATGGGGGAGAGCCCAGCCCATGTTGGGTGTTGCCATTCTTGGGCAGGTAGTCCTGGGTTTTATAAGAAAGCAGGCTGGCCAGGTGATGACTTTCCATTTCTGTCACTCAGGATGACAGTTTTTAGTTTCTTTTATGCAATAGCATGCTTAAGAATGACATTCTTAGCCAGGCAATGTTGGCATACACCTTTAATCCCAGCACTTAGAAGATAGAGGCAGGTGGATCTCTGTGAGTTCAAGACCAGCCTGGTCTACAAAGCAAGTTCCAGGACAGCTAGGGCTGTTACAGAGAGAAACCCTATCTTGAAAAATTAAAAGAAAGAAAAGTCAGAAAGAAAGTAGGCTGAACAAGACATGGTCTCTGTATCAGCCTCTGCCTCCAGGATCCTGCCCTGTTTGAGTTCCTGTCCTGGCTTCCTTCAGTGATGAAAGCAATGCCAAAGTGTAAGCCTAATAAACTCTTTCCTTCCCAACTTGCTTTCTAGGCATGGTGTCTGGTCACAGCAACAGAAACCCTAAGACATACACATGATGTGAGACACACACACACACACACACACACACACACACACCATGAAAGCAAGCCCAAGAATCAAGAACTTGTCCAGAGCTATGCTGCCAGTCCTGAAATCCTGGCCCTGGGAGAGTACCTTGCTCTTCAGTAGGCCCATGGGACCAACCACCTTCTCAAAGATGTGCTTCCCAACATGTGCATCCACAGCCGAGAGGGGGTCATCGAAGAGGTAGATGTCAGAGTTACAGTACACAGCTCGGGCCAGGCTCACACGCTGCTTCTGGCCCCCTGACAGGTTCACACCCTAGGAAGACAGTGAGGAGGGTGGGTTTCTTGGGATCCCTGGACAATCCTGAGGAACCACATAATCATACAAAACCAGAGTGGGGACAGAAGAGCTGCTGAGTGGGGTGTCTGACCCCCAGCCAGTGCTCAGGGAAGGGAAACAGACAGCTAGACCTGCTGACACAGGTCTATCCAGTCCAGCTACTCAGAGACTGAGGCAGGAGGATGGCAAGTTCAAGACCAGCCTGGGCACCATCTCAAGTGAAACATAAAAGGAGGGCCGGGGATGCGGCTCAGTTATAGAGCATGTGCCTGGCCTCGTAACGGTCTCGGTCTGGTCCCTAGTGCTACAAGAAAAGAGGAGGCAGCGGTAGCTGTTAACAGCTTCAGACCCGTCAGCCTGTATAAAGATTATATTATTATGCTGTAGCTGATGTCACTACTGTTGCTGTCAGCAGTCAGTCTGTGGTGAGCTTCACTCTGAGCTGCCATTCCTATTGCAGCCACACAGGAAAGCTGACTGCACCCAAAGTGCTGAGACCCCTCCAGTACTCCACTCACGGAGGAAAGATTCAGCACTGAGCAGCAGCAGGGGACCAACACGATGGCCATGGGACACCTATTGAATAAACTGCCCAAACCTGCAGAGATGGACACTCCCTTCCTTTGCAGAGGCTAGTCCTCGGGTCTGTCCAGATACACTGCCTTCCTGTGCTGAGGCTGGCCCCAGTAGTTATCTCCCATATTTTGTATTTGATTTGATTTGGGCAGTGCTGGGAACAGAACTAAGGGCCTTTGCACACACTAAACCAGTGCTCTACCACTGAGCAACACTGCTAGATATTTTTCATATTTTATTTTGAGATGAACTCTTGCTAGGTGGCCTACACTGGCCTCAAACTCATGATTCTCCTGCCTCAGCTTCCTGCATGCTGGGATGATAGGTCCAGATATAAAGGTCCCGTCCAAGCTGGGCCCTTTGGATGCAGCTTATTGACCTGAAATCAGATGCAGTAACCAAGATTACTTAATCTGTGAGCGAGTGAGAGAGACAGAGAGAGAGAGAGAGCACTGTGTGAAAGAGCTGTTGCTATGTAGAGGAGCTATGCCTAGAAACTGTCGAAAGTGCTGTGTGGTGGATAAGCTATGTAAATGAGATTTATAGCTATGGCTGTGTGGAGATTTATAACTGTAACTGAATACAGAAATATGTAACTGGGCAGGAGAGGGATGTATGTATGGAAGAGAGAGATCATTTTAAGTTTAAGTAAAGAGGTCACCAATAAAAAAGCGTGCGCTGGCTCCTTTTTTCTTCGGTTACCAGGAGAAAGTATATGCTTGTTTATTTTTCCCCTCAGACATTAAAGTCTAGCAACCCTCAAATAAGAGGGCCCTATTATCCTGGTGCTGACTGGGGGCTGGCCCCAGTAGTTAGTATTATTTTGGCACCAGAAACAGAGGACAATATAGAAATTACTCAGGAAATTACCCACAGAGAAGAGGGGATTTTCATGGAGGAAATGCCCCATATGCACCCTCTGGGAGTGTTCGAGAGAGACACTTCCTAATGGTCACTGGTGGATTCAGCAGATCCCTTGGTCTCCCCAGCACCAGGTAAACATGGCTGAGGAGATGAATTCCCTAACCTTCCCTTTGTGTTTGTCTTTCCCTCAGAATGACTCAAAGTTTAAAACAGTCTTGGTACAAAGAAATAGGAAGAAAAAACATGTCTCTCGCAATATTTCTGGAAAGAAAAGAGCTTACAAAAAGCCTGCAGCATGGGTTTCAGTTTGGAGTAGCAGGAGCTGCCCTTTAGATAACTCTTGGCTGTCTGCCTGTATGCTAGTCAGACTCCTTAAGCTAACTGGAATTCAAAAGATGATCCATCTCCCATGTTTCACTTTCACTTTTTTCTCCAACTGCCTTAAAAGTTCTAAAGAATGTCTCTTTCTCTCCTTCTTTCTCTTTCTGGAAAACGGGAGCTTTTTGCTTGTTTACAAAATAGCATCAGAAAGTTCCAATTAGCCCTATAAAGACCATTTCACAGGAAAGACATTTTCTGTGATTTGGGGATTCTCTATGTATCTCTGCCTTTTTCTTCCTTCTTCTGGCTGTCTGTAGTCAATCTCCTAGATTCACTATCTATGTCTCATCCCTTCTCTCCTACTCGCTCCCCTCCCCGCAGGCTGCTTCATTTGAAAGTCTATTTGTCTTCTTGTTAAAAAGTCCTCCTACCTTGAAGGAATGGATGATAATGTGGCCACAGCATGTTTGTCTACTGATTGGTTTTGAATGGCTATTTTGTGTGTTCTGTGAGTCTTGCTGGCAGCCCAGATTTACACACAGCTATCTGTCTGTCTGTCTCCTACTTCTGTGCTTCCCAATTCTCATTTATCCCTGAAAACCTTTCCTCTTATTATTTTGGTTTCTTCACTGCACTTACTTTATTTCATGATATACTATAAAGGGATTTATAATATTAACAGTCTGTATATTGTATTTATTATTAAAAAGCCTTCATTTCAAACTAAAAGAACTTCAATTCAAAATTATTAATTTTTAGGTTAAATCTAACAGATAAAATCCTGATAAACTATTAATTTGGCTCTGACAAAATACCACCACATTACCATGACCACAAATAATAATAATGTTTGTTAATTTATCTGGAATTTTTGTCTCTTTAAGAAGGTTCTTTTGTGATAGTGGGGGACTGTGTTCACACTCTCCCCTAATTTTGTTTTTTCTTAATTAAAAAAAAGAAGATTCTTAGAAACATCAGAACATCAGTTTGCAGTCACCTACACCCACAGGTGGAGACAAACTTGAGAAAAAGTACTACCAACCTACTGTTTGTTTCCCCACCAGCCTATTTCCTTAAAGGGGGCATCTCTCTCTCTCTCTCTCTCTCTCTCTCTCTCTCTCTCTCTCTGAATATTGGAACTCCCCTTTCTCATCTGCCAGGACCTTGCACTTCAAAATTCCAAATGAACACCTAACGAGGGATATTCATAATCAGTGAGGTTACGATATCCTTTATTAGATAAACGCCAGCCAAACGCCAGCCAGCTCGTGCCAGGGGCAGCAAGGCAGGGAGGCCATAGAGAAGGCGCTCCCACGTGTCTTGTCTGTCCCTTTAAACCCTATCTCGCATCATCCTTCTAGCAGGCGTGGCTTACACTGTCCCCTACATACACCTAAGAAAAGTTTCCTCTATAAAATCCCTTAACTTCATGTTCTTTCATTAATATATATTTGTTCCAGCAGATTTCTAATGAATTAAAGATTACAGTCTGCTCAAAAACTGCCTACACGTCCCTGGCCCAAGATCATCCCAAAGACCCTAGACAACAAATGAAACAGCCTGCTCCTCCCAGGTTGCCACTGCATTCCAGACGTCAGGACCCCCAACTTCTCGCCCATATCAGCAGGAAGCAACTATGAGAGATTTCTATTACCCCCCCCCCTTTTTTTTTCTAAACTGAACTCTGCAGCTCAGGGGCTGGACTGCCCTCTCATGGCCAAATTAGTTAATTGCTTTGATTACAAGTTTAAAGATACTGGTCAGCATCAATCCAAGGGCCCCACCCCAGTCAATCCAAAGGATCCCCAGATCCACACCAAGTAAAAGACATTATGCATCAAATAAGCAAGTTGGTAGATAGATCCTTGGCTGGAGACTGGGAGCACACAAACTTAGCTCTCCCAAGAGGTCCCCTTCACTGGGACTGGCTGCATTCCCAGCACACACAAGACACACCTAAGGCCTTCTTCAAAAGTGACAGTGGAACAGATGACAAGAGGGACTTAAGAACCTTTGTCTCTTTGCTGTGTGACTTGCCACTAGGCAAAGTCCCCTAACCTCTCTGAGTCTTCTCCCTTTCCTCAGCCATCCTTTAGAGATCACATGAGCTGCTGTGCACATATTTCAGGGCTAAAATGTTAGCATGGCAGCAGAATGGAGGAGTGGGTGTCAGCTAGTCCAGGGCTGTCTGAATAATCACTCACAGACACACGTCTGAGGTGCACTGCATGACTGACAAGGGGAGTCACTTCTAGTGTCTTGTGCTGTGGGTGGGACAGTTATGTGGGCAAAAGCACAGCACACCTTTTTTTTTTATTCTCTTGGACTCTGCATCACCGTTCGAGAGGCTCGCACTTGGGTGGCTGCTAATACCTCAACTCAGACAACAGCACCAAGAGCCAGATAGTATAGACCCTCACCAAACTCACAGAGCTTGACAAGAGGAGCAGAGCCACAGAAGGGAGACGGCAGGTCCCTGACAGTTCACTTGCAGGAGGAGCATTTAATGTGAAAGGCACTGACAGAGTGTGCACATGTTTGTCACACAGTTGCAGCTGACAGCTACATGATGTACCCATGCCATACTTACCTTCTCACCTATCTCTGTCCGGTCCCCACTGGGCAAGATTTCCAGATCCGGGAGGAGGGCACAGGCTTCCAACACTGCTTTGTAGTAGTATTCCTTCATTGGGTGCCCAAACAGGATGTTCTCTTGGAGAGAGTCATTCTGAATCCAGGCCTGCTGGGGCACATAGGCCACAGTACCCTGTGTGGCAGACAGTGGAGAGGAAAGACAGACAGACTCTATGAAAAGACAATAGCGTATAACTGCCTGCAAGAAGAGCCGGTTGCCCAAAACACACAGCAAAGGCAAGAACAGAGAAGGGCATTAATCCAAAGCGAACATCACAGACAAGGAAGAAATAAATCCAGTTCTTTCAGGGACAGAAAGACCTGCTTGACTGGACAGGGGTGAGTCACATGAGAGGAGGACAGGCAGGAAGGCAGGTGGCAGGGACCAGTTCACACAGGGCTGGTGTCATGCCCACCTTTATCAAAAAAAAGGTGATGAAACAACACAGAGGACTCTAAAGTAAGGGAATAGAAATCAATGACCTAAATCTGGATCTAAAAGCTCAGAAAAATGACTCAGTTGCTATTCTAACATTCCAGAGTCTATGAGCCCCAATGTCAGGACACCTCAGCTGTAAACCTCACAAGATAATTCATCCGAGGCCATGTCTACCAAGGTACTGGGAAAAACTAATGTTTTTCCAGCTACAAATAAGTCTTGGACTCAAAACATCAGTGCTTAGGATGGTAGGAACCCAGGAATTATGAAACAGAATGCAATATGGCTATCTAAACATGACAAGCAATTTCCCTTTGCCAACCTTTCTCATGTTGCCCGTCCACTACTTGGAAGAAACAACAGGATATATCTTGAAGCAACAGGTATCTGCCCAGACCCAGACACTGTCCACTTCTAAACGAGCACTGAACCAGCAAGGGAAAGGTCTGAACTGAAATCAAATAGTGACATAAGCCTACACCTCAGACTTGAGTTCCCAGGAGAAGGGATACAGATGACAGACAGGTTCAGGGACAAGTATCTGGCACGGGCTGGCTAAAGTAAAATAGTTGGGTTTTTGTTTGTTGTTTTGTTTTCTTCTCTGGCTGCTCCAGAGGCTACTGGCAACACTGAAAGGAGCTGACTTATAGCAAGTACAGGCCTCAGGGGAAACAAGGTGCATGTAGACAGGCCCCAAGGGACTTAATGCTTACAGCAGCCTGGAATGCTTCATGGAAAGTTTAGCTCAGCTTGAAGCGTACTGCATCTCAAATCTCTAATCCCACACTCTTCCCCTCCAGGCCCCCATCAAAAACTCAGCTAACACTAAAGATTCAAACTGTGTTTCGCACACCAGGCTCTGAGATGATTCCAGCCACACCAACCAGCACTGGCTATATTCTATTTACAGGACAAGACACAGAAAGATCCAAAAGAAAGAAACCAGAAGGTTCCATCCACAAAGACTATAGGATAAAGTGAGAGTGGAGGGGGTACAGCTTGAACCTTGAAGGGATTCTAGGATATACCCAGTAATTCTCTTTCTTCCTTCCTTCCTTCCTTCCCTCCCTCCCGCCCTCCCTCCCTCCCTCCCTCCCTTTGTTCTGACAGTTTCAGGAAGTTATAAAATTGTACTTTTGTTAAACT